ACCAACCCCACGCTGAAGGTGATCGACATCCGAGCCTGTGCAGACGTGGCACACAGGAAGCAGAAGGGAGTGCTGGTGGCAGTGGACAACACCTTCATGTCTCCATATTTCCAGGTGTGTGGAAAAAGGACAGGACTGTCACCTGTCCCAGTGGAGCTGGAGCTCCCTTTTGGCAAGGGAAGCACCACCAAAGAATTGCAGTTCTGGTCTCTGCATTGTAAAATCACCTGCTCTGGTTCCAGCCCAGGTGCTGCTGCTGGTGCACCAGGGATGGGGGTGTCTGTCCTTCAGGAATTGTGGGATCCAATTCTTCCTGCTGGAAATAGGAACAGTTAAAAACTGTTCCCTCACTTTGGCCTTTCCATAGCAATCCTTCTGTAGATGCTGTTCATGGGCTGTTCTGAGTGGAAGAAAAACCAAGCAACCTTTGTCCAGTCTTTCTTTGAGACATCCAGCTTCCCTTTTCCTTCAAAATTCTGGTGAATATTTGTCATATAAGTTTAAAACTTTGTTTATTACAAGTGCCAGAACTTTTCAGTATTGATAACTGGAAGACATGAAGCCAAGAGATTTAAGTTTGGCAAATGCTTCAGAATAATGGATTCCCAGGCATTGTTGAACTTCATATGGGCTAGAATCTGCCTGCTTTGTTCCATTTTAACAGTGATGGCCCTCAATCTTTAGAATGTGTTGATAAATCACATTTTCGTGTGCTTACCTTGAATTCAGAGTGCCTCCCTTTGCTGCTGCTTTTAGCACATGTTCTCTTGTCATCCTCAGGTTTCTGTGTTTGTTCCAACACTTATTTTTCCTGTGTAAGCTCCCAGCCCTTGGAATGGCCGGGAATGAACCTGAGTGCACCCAAACTTGAGTTAAACTTTTCTTTCAGCGTCCTATGTCCCTGGGGGCTGATATTTGTGTGTCTTCTGCAACCAAGTACATCAATGGTGAGTCTGAGAGTTGAGCACATCCTTAGGGCAGGGTTAGATGGGAGATTGGGAAGGAATTCCTGGCCAGGAGGGTGGGCAGGCCCTGGCACAGGTGCCCAGAGCAGCTGTGGCTGCCCCTGGATGCCTGGAATGTCCAAGGCCAGGCTGGGCAGGGCTTGGAGCAGCCTGGGGTGGTGGGAGGTGTCCCTGGGGGTTTGTGGCAGGACCCTGGAGCAGCTGGAGTGGCTGATCCCATTCTTGTCCCCTGTCATTTGTAGGGCACAGCGATGTTCTCTTGGGCCTGGTCTCTGTAAACCGGGATGATCTCTATGAGAGGCTCAAATTCCTTCAGATCCGTAAGTCCAGACAGGGAATTCCTGACAGGAATCCTGTTCACATCCACAGCTCCTGCTGGGGAGGGTGTACATGCACACAAGTGGGAAATCTGCCTGGGAATGTGACTTGAATGGGCAGAACTGAGTAAAGTGCAATTAAAAATCCTCCAATAAAAACTCCACTAAGGAAAAACTCCAATGAAAGGAGAGACATTGGTCTCCACTTCCCAGGCACTTCAGGGGAGCACTGAGGTCTATCCTGAAACCCTTGAGGTGCCCAGCTGCAGTTTGGGGGGTTTGAAACTCACTCACCCATCAGGGTGTGCCTAATGCAGGATTTTCTGTTCTCTCTTGATTCCAGCAAATTTCCTCCCTCTTGTCAGGAATAAATTCCTGTCCAGGGTTGTGCCCTCAGCAGGGAAGGTCACTGTGCCAAATAAATGTAATCCTTGAGGCCTGAGCTTATTAACTGGCCTCATTAATTGTCTCCCCAATGTGGGAGATGAGGAACAGAGATTGCCTCGGGTGACTTCCCACTTGTTCTAAGCTCAGGAATGCTGGAGATGAGGGTGTGTTTGACTTTGCTGAATGCAAAACACCAACGTGGCTGTGGAATTCTGTGGAATTCTGTTCCCATTCCCACAGACCTGGGAGCTGTTCCCTCTCCCTTTGACTGCTTCCTCTGCAACCGGGGGCTCAAGACTCTGCACATCCGGATGAAGCTGCACTTCCAGAACGGCCTGGCTGTGGCCAAGTTCCTGGAAACCCATCCCCGGGTGGAGAAGGTCATTTACCCAGGTGGGTGGGCAGGGATCTGGGAGCATCCCAGGGCAGGGGTTTGGGAGCAGTGGTACCCCGTTCCTGGGGCTGGGTGCCCAGCTCTGCACTGGAATTTACTGGGAATTCTCCCAACTGTCCCCATTCCAGGGTTGGCTTCCCACCCCCAGTACCATGTGATGCAGAAGCAGTGCACGGGTGTTTCTGGCATGGTCAGCTTCTGCATCAAAGGGAAAAAAGAAAATGCCGTTGCCTTCCTCAAGAACCTGAAGGTAAAGGAATAAAATCACCCTCAGAGGGAGCTGAACCTGCCCTGCTGAGGGGAGGCTGGAAGTGGCTTTTCCTGCCAAGTGCTGTGTGTGTGCCCCTCTCAATCCACGGATAATTTGTCCATGGGGGTTAATGAGAGGGAACAAAGGGACACCTCAGCCCCTTGGAAGTGTTTGTTTGCTCCCAGAGTGAGGGTGGCCAGCTGAGCCCAGGAGCTGCTGCTGACAAAGGGCTTTCTGCAGCCTGGGCAGCTCTGCTGGGCTGTTGCAAAGTGCCCTCAGGAGGGAGGGAGAGCCACTGAGGAAAGCCCTGACTCGTGGGGCAGAGAGGGAGCCCCTGGCTCTGCGAGTGCTTGCTTGGGTCCACCCAAGAACACTCCCAGGGACCCATGGCCAGGGAGTTTTCAGTCTTAGCTCTTACCTGCCAGATGTGAACTTTATTCCCTAATTACAGCCATTACACTTTAGAATATAAAAGTTATTATAGAAAAGCTTGGGGAAAAGAGGTCCCTCAACTTTCCTTTTTCCTCCAAGTCCTTGAAGAGGTCCCAGCCCCGGGGCTGCCGGAGCTCCAGGAGGGTTTGGACAGTGCTGCCAGGGATGCTCAGGGTGGGAATGTTGGGGTGTCTGTGCAGGGCCAGGGGCTGGATCAATGATCCCTGTGGGCAACTCAGGATATTCCCTGATTCCATCAGCTCTCTTTCAGTGAATCCATGAGCTCCTTCCCTTTCTCCCACAGGTGTTTACCCTGGCTTTTAGCCTGGGTGGCTACGAGAGCCTGGCAGAGCATCCGTGAGTTCATCCTTCCATCCTCAGAGCCTCAAAAAGCTGCAGAGCACCACAAGATCCCCACGGTTTTCCAGCCCCCAAAGCTGTTTTGGCTGCAGGGAAACTCGGGGCTGTTGTGCAGCACAAAGCCGGGGGGGTTCCAGAGGGAGGGAATTGTGTGGGAGTGCAGAGACAGAGGAATTGTGCCTGCAGGGCTGAGCACACTTGGTGTCCATGAAGACAATCCCAGGAGCTGCTGAGTGCTGGGATCAGGAGCAGCTGGGATTGAGGAATGCCCTGCTCTCTGCTCCCACAGAGGGCACGGTCACTGTGTGTACCCAGCTGCCTCTGGCTCCCTGGCAGGGCCTCCTGAGGGCCTTTTAAACTGCTCAAAACAGGATTTTTGTGGGATTGCATGATTTTCCTCAAAGCCAGTTTGCTTTTTGAGAAGGTGCATGGAAATGAGTGAGTGTATGGAAATGCTAAATCATTTCACTTACTGATTTCAGGGTAACAGCAAATCCTGAACCCCTGCAGCAGCTGAAAGGAGCTGGTGCCAGTGACTGAGCACTTGGGGAAATGCCTTCTTGCTCTGTCCTCTGTAGCTGGAGAGAATAAACCCTCCAGAGTCATTGGGACAGCTTGAGGAGGGATCTGAGAAACCAGAGGGGAAACCAGGAGATTTGATACTGCAGCTTGCACATTCCCCACATGCAGAGCTTACAGCGCTTCTGTAGAATAAAAACAGCACTGCAAGGAAGAGGAATAGGATTTTCTCCTTCCTCAGGTCCAGATGTTTCTGTATCCACTTCTTATTAATCATTTGTGCCTTGGAGATGCAGTTCCCTGCCTTGTGAGCATTCCCATCATTTGCAGGAAGTGCTGCCAGGAGCTCTTTGCACCTGTGGGGTCACACGAGTGGCACAGAGGAGGTGTCAGATCCTGCTGCCATTGCAGGGGTGCTGGCAGGGAACCAGCCTGGCTGCTTCTGCCAATAAAACTCCCAAATTCTTGAGATCAATGATGGTTTTTATCCCTGCAGGGCCATCATGACCCACGCCTCAGTGCCTGAGAAGGAAAGGAAAGCTCTGGGAATCACTGACACCTTGATCCGCCTCTCGGTGGGGCTGGAGGATGAGGAGGATTTGATCAAAGACCTGGACCAGGCCCTGGAGGCTGCGGTGAGTGAGGAGCTCCCCTCCAAAAATAATCCCCAATCAACCTTCAGCTCTTCCCAGATGGACCCTGGGCAGTTCCTATGGATTGAGGAGCACTTGGGATGTCCCAGGCACAGTTCCCATGGATTCAGGAGCAGTTGGGATGTCCCAGGCACAGTTCCTATGGATTGAGGAGCAGTTGGGATGTCCCAGGCACTGTTCCCCATGGATTGAGGAGCAGTTGGGATGTCCCAGGCACAGTTCCCATGGATTCAGGAGCAGTTGGGATGTCCCAGGCACTGTTCCCCATGGATTGAGGAACAGCTGGGATGTCCCAGGGGTTGCAGTGATGGGAATTTCCCTGCTCAGGTCAGGCTGAGGGAGACTCACTCAGGGCTCAGGGTGAGTTTCAGGTTTGTCAGGGAGGAGTTTCAGAGAGGGTAGGAAAGGTTTGTTCCTGTATTTTCTCTTTTTGTGTGTGGTTGTTTTTTACTGGGGGGAATGTTGGGGTTTTCTTATGAGAGGGAAAATTATCATCGGTAACTCCACATGTTTCTCTTTGCCAGCATGAAAACAAAATCTAGTGCTAAAATGTGACTTTGATTTATGGGAAGGGAAATAAAAATGTGTGGCTGATAGAGGGGCAGAGCCCAATGATCCCTCCCTTTCCTTCCTGCAGTTTAAATAAACCTTGGGGGTCAAAAAGGAACTTGGAACTGGACATGGCTGTGGACAAGGACACGGAAAACCAAACCTCTCTTGCTTTGCCTTTGCTTTGCCAGCAGAGCTCAGTGTTTCTCCTGCTGCTGCAGGTTTGGGGCACAAGGGCTGGTTCCTGCTGCTGCTCTCAGGTCATTCTCTTCTCACCCATCAGCTCAGCTCAGAAACTTGATTGAGATTAGATTTATTTAAATCAAGTTGGAAATTTGGTGAAGAGCTTTTTCTTCTCCTGATTCTTTATTGAAAATGAAGTGAAATCCAAGACCTGGCAAATAATAACTTTCTAAAGATGAATCTTTGTCATTTGAAAAAATCATGTGCTGTGGGAATGATTGGAATCATTTTAATTAAAACACTCTTTTCCTTTCCTTGCATATATTCCCATGTGCACATGTTCCTTGTGTTCGAAATCACGGGATGGAGTGACCCTGGAACTGTTGGAATTTCCCTGTGGGGAAGGCAGGAGGGCTGGAGCTGAGGGGAGAGGGAGGATGGAGAGAGGAAGGACAATTCTGTATTGGCCACAGGCACAATAACCTTCATTGCAGCGAGGGATTAAATCCTGACAGAACCAGAGTGGGGGTGTTCCCACCCAAACCTCCTCATTCCACAGAATCCCAGACTGGTTTGGGCTGGGGGAGACCTCAAATCCCCCCCATTCCCACCCCAGCCATGGCAGGGACAGCTCCCACTGTCCCAGGCTGCTCCAAACCCATCCAGCCTGGCCTTGGGCACTGCCAGGGATCCAGGGGCAGCCCCAGCTGCTCTGGGAATTCTATCCCAGGGCCTGCCCACCCTGCCAGGGAACAATTCCTGCCCAAGATCCCATCCAGCCCTGCCCTCTGGCACTGGCAGCCATTCCCCCTTTTTCCCTTGTCCCTCCCGAGGGTGGGCTCCTGGTTCCACCAGCTCAGCTCATAGAGCCCACCCATGGCAATTCTCTCAGATCCAGATGATTTTCCAGCAAGCCCGGCCTGTGCTGTGCCCTGGAGCTGCTGCTTGGCCTGTGGGGAGCAGCAGGGTCTGGTTTGTGTCACAGGAAGGTCTCCCATGATAGGAAAAGCTGCTGGGCTTCCTCAGCCTCCTGCTGCCCTGCATTTCCCTTATCCCATTCATTTGGGGAAAGCACCGAGAGCTCTGCCAGAGGGAAGCTCTCAATGAGTTGTTCTGGGATTTTCTTGACATGGAATATCAGCCTGAGGCTGGCTCTGGGCTGGGACCTGCCAGCTCCTGGTCTCTTTTTAGGGAGCTTGTGGGAGAATGCAGCTGCTCATACCCTGATTATCCAGAATTTCTCTCACGTTCCCAGAGCTGCCAGAGCCCAGCCACTGCTTGGACAATGCTCAGGCACAGCAGGGGCATCCTTGGGGTGTCTGTGCAGGGCCAGAGCTTGGACTGGATGATTCCTGTGGGATCCAGCTTGGAACATTCCCTGATTCCATCCCTCTGAGCTGGAGAGATTCCTTTGGGATCTTTCAATATCTCCTGGTTCATGACTTCCCTGGACTCACCCCTCTGGGCTGCTCCCAGATCTGGCTTGTATTTCCCATCTTCCAACTCCCTGAAGCCCAAAGGGGGTGGTTTTCCTTGGATTGGATGTTGCAGAGTGGATTCAGATTCAGGGGAATTCCTGTTCCATGTTGAGGCCCAGATCCCTCGTGCTGGCCCAGGATACCTTTGTCCCTGGGAAACAGGAGCAGCACTAAGCCTTGAATCCAGCCCAGCTAAGCCCGAGGCAGGGCCTGGCTCCCGGCCCCAGCGTTCCGAGTGCTGGGGTCAGCCTGCTCCCTCCCAGCCTCACATTCCCTGGATTTGAGCTTTCTCTGGCATTTCTCACTGTGTTTGATGAAGGGTTTGTGTTCTCCAGCCAAGGCTGAGCCACATTAGTCAGAAGAGTTCTTAGAAACGGCGGCTTTCATTTCCCGGAAAGTTCTGTCCCCGCGCTCCTCGGTGTCACCAGGAGAGGCCCTGGGCATGCAGGAGTGCCCAGCTCCCAGTTCCCAGCCCGGGGCCACGTTGGGAGCTTTGGCAGTGCCCTCGCTGTCCCACTGGCCGTGGGCACGGGAATGTGGGGGTGCTGCTGCTGCAGGGCCGAGCAGGGCTGGGAATCCCAGCTCCCAGCCCACCCGGTGATGGATTGAGTGGACTCCAAGGCACAAACTCCAGATGCCCTTCAGTCCCAGCACAGCTTCCCAGCATCCCCATGAATCACTGGAACGAGCCTGAGCCCCAGAAGTGCTCTGTAATTATTTTATCTGCTGCTGTGTGCAGTAGCTGACTGGCAAATGCAATTTTTATTCTTTCCTTTTATCATCTAATCAGTAGGGAAATATTGATTCTCTCCTGTCTTGCTAAAGGATGTTGGGGAATGGAGTAGGAGCTGTGGCTCCCACCCTGGCAGCCTGACAGAATCATGGAATATCCACAGGGATCATCCAGTCCAGCTGCTGGCCCTGCACACACAGCCCAACAATCCCAGCCTGTCCCACAGTGTTCCACCAGCTGGCTCCTGGAATGCTGAGCAGGGCAGGAACTGGAAGGTGTTTCCTCCCCACTTTTCAGCCATCATTTCTAACCCTTTAAGCACCGCTGAAAATTCCTCTTCCTTCTCTTGCAAACCCCATTTTCACACACATCCCACCCTGATGGATCTTGATCCAGAGCAGCTGCAGGGCTTGGGAAGGAAAGCTGAACCCTTAGGCTGGGTTTTCCCGGTATTTCCCTGTCTGCCTGCATTTCCAAGCTGCCTGTTGGGTTCTCCCCAGGACACCAAGGTTGTTCCTGCTGACTTTGAATGCCTCGTGTGTTTCACAAGAGCAACGGGAGATGTGTGAGGAGCGGAGCAGAATTCCATTTCAGTTGGGAATATTCCCCGAGGGAGCGTGTCACAAAGGCTCTGAGAATGAAGGAATTATATTTAGATGATATTAATCATTTATAATCATTTCTCTCTTCTCCTCTTCCAGGCTTCCATGAGGACAGATGAACGTAAAAGGAATTCTCTCTCTTGGACACGCAGGGAGGAGCAGAAACAGAGCCATTCCAGCCACAAGCCGTGTGCTCCCTTCCCAGGCTCCGTGTCAAAGCCCTGGGCTGCTTTTGGGGAGGGATTTCATGCAAGCAAAGAGCTCTCAACTCATTTCTGCAGCATCTTGGATCAGGAAATGGGAAGTTTGTATTCAAAATCTCGGGACGCCGCCATTCGAGACTGCACAACAAACACTTGGCTGAAGAGGGAAGTGCCCCAGGATGTCACATGGAGCTGCTCCTGCTTGTTCCCAGATATTTGGCTCGTTGACCTTGGGTTTCTGTGGTTGCTTCTGGGATGGGCTGTGCTCTCCTCGGGTTCAGGGTGTGTTTCCCTCGGGGCGTGTCCTGCCCCGGGAGCTCTGCGCTGCCTGTGCTGGGGGAGAGCTCCCCTCGTCCTTCCTCCCTTCCCTTCCCTGACAGGAATAGCCAGGGACCTTAAATCCCAGCCATCCCAGTCCTGCCATGGCAGGGACACCTCCCACTGTCCCAGGCTGCTCCAGCCCCAGTGTCCAGCCTGGCCTTGGGCACTGCCAGGGATCCAGGGGCAGCCCCAGCTGCCCCGGCCTCTGCTCCCTGCCTTCCTCCCAGAAATGTCTGAACTTGGACAGCTGTGCTGCTCTCCTCCTTTTCCAGGTGTTTGTCCATGCTGTTGCCTTTTCCAAAGGTTTCTTCTGGACTCACTTTGGTTCCTTACACCAAATCTCACGTGAGGCACAGGCAGCAATGCCCAGGAGCTTCAGCTGGAGCCGTGCCTTTGCCAGCAGCCACAGCTCTGCATTCCCAGAAGTGCTGCCTGCATCCAGCGTGGATTCTCTGGGAGATCTTGCCAGGAGTTCCAGGCCCTGTCCTTCCCACCATGCTGGTGCCAGCAGAGCCCTTCCTCCCCCTCCAGCCCCCGGTGGAGCAAAGCAGAAGGTGAAGGACCAGAGAGCATTTGTGGGGCTCGGCTCCGCCTCAGCGCTGCTCAGGAGAAAAGAGGAATCTGGAAAAGGAGTTTTGCTGCCCCAGGCTCTGGGCTGGGCTGGAGGGGAGCTGGCAGGAGCAGCTGGGCTGGGTTTGGGGTGGGAGGATGGTGAGCAGCAGTGGATTGAGCCCAGGCTGGGCACTGCCATCCCACAGGAACAGCCTGGCCCTGGCCCAGCCTGCCCAAGGGGCCTGAAATGTTCAGAGACTTTTTCCAGCTGGCCAAGCTCGGCTCACTTCTGATCCCAAATCCTGAATCCAGTTCCTTTCTCCTGTTGTATCAGAAACCCACCTTGCATCTGTCTGTGACTTGCTCCTTTTCCCTCGGAAACAAATTCCTTTGCAGCCTGGCCACCGGGCTCGGGATAATCAATGGAAGCTCCCCTGAGACTCCAAGAAACAAATGCCTGCATTTACAGCAAAGGTTCAACTCAATTTACTCCATATTCAATCCATTCCTCAAAGAAATTCCAACCAAAAGTGCTGGGCTCCGAGGGGATGTGGGGAGAGCCAAGAGCTGACCCCACCATTCCCTGATTTTGTGCAGGGGGCCGGAGCTGGTTCATTCCCTGGTGAGGAATGAGCTCTGTTACCCTGGCAAGGAATTCTGTTTGTGGCAGATAAGGAGGCACCAGCTGTGTCCTCTCAGGGATTCAGGCACCTGAGTCACGTTTCATCACCGTGTTCCTCCTTGGCACCAAATTTCCCCCTCAGAGAAGACATTAAGTGCCTCTTGTGCCATCCCAGCTCCTGCAGTTCCCTGAGCTCCCTTCCCTGGCTGCTGCAGAGCCTTTGTGGCTTTGAGGCTCCAGGCAGAGCCCTTAATTTGACAGGTGCTGTGGGAGCTGATGGAGCTGGAGCTGGATTTCCCCTTCCAGGGCTGCTGCCAGAGCCCAGCCCGGGCTGGGAGTGAGGATCCTTTTCCAGCTGTGCCTTGGAGCTGCTGAAAGCTGGGGCTGGGCAGCCAGGCAGGGCTTTCCTGTCCCCTGTGATCCATTGCTTCCCTCCAAGGTGAGGATCCCTGGGAGCAGCCTGAGCCTGTTCCCGTTTTCCT